TGGCAGATCAAAAATCAAAATCATGATCAATGTAATAGAAGGTGCCATGTAGGCACTGCCCCATATTTGAATACGTAGAATGTCCAATAAAATCAAGAAGTCTCTAAGAATTTCAATAGGCAATAATAAATGTAGGAAGATCTATGAAATTGTTTAGAATGATATTTTACCTGTTCACATCAGGTTTTTTTTTTCAAGGGGATGGCTTCCACCAATTTACAAAACTGCAACAAGATGCAACCAAATGGAGGAGAAAGGATGATGATTCTCTTCTGTTTCTATTTACTAAAAGAAAGCAGATATTAAACGAACGTGATGAGGACACGCATTAAGAACTTACCGCTGACGGTCAAAATCCCATAAAAAAAATGGAAGACGTAGCTCCCAAACGAAAATGACTAAAGTTACACAAAAAAAGGATGCTAGTCCATGAACTGGCGCTTGGGGCCTAATATCCCAGAGTCCGGAAAATTTGCCAAAAGGAAATCATTGAAAAGGGTTTGGCCTAGGAATGGGCACTCTACGTATATTATCAATGAAGAGAAATTCAAATAACGGATAAGTGATAAATAGTAAAAAAAAAGGTTTCGTGATTCTTCGGGGTCATTTATATTTCTTATTCCTTTGCGAGTGATCTCTCGAAGAATATCCTAAAAAACATGACAATTACATAAAAATATGTGTCGCAATCATACAGTGACTTTAAAGTTGGGACTTTCCTTTTCAGATTTAACTACGCTTGTAATACCAAAGCTATTATGCAGCAAAACAACACCGAAAACGTACAAAAGAAATTGACGACAAATACGTACTATTCACTCGATAAGGAATTGCAAGTACTGCCTGTTACATGCTTTGTTTGTAAGCACTGCTAAAAGTTGTCGCTGTTCGACTCAAAAACACGTTCTTGTTACTTCTTCCTGAATTTGCAATGTTTGGGGCTGTCCAGACGGATTTTCATCATATAAAAAAACATATTCAGCTCTGATGGAATGGAACATCGAGGACGACGGCGACGTTCTGAGCATACTCGCGGAGTATCAATAGAATCTTGATGCTCATATCAAATGTGCCAATTTCAATTTTTCAAATGTGGTTTGTTTATAAACCCTGTTAACCTAGACTCCACGCAACGAAAGGTTTGGATACTAACTCATATAGTACATCATACGCTTTGACGTAGTAGGGGATTGGGGAAGGAAGGAAGCTGTCAAGGTTCATTTATTGCTTTTTGGAAGCTAATATCTCGGTTATCCTAAAGCTTTAATATATACAGAGTGGGGCATCGAAAACGAAACAGACGCATTTACTGGCAGCTCAGTTTTTTTTTTGAAAAACGCTCAGACCCGTCGATTTTGTTTTCGAGGGGGACACAAGTTTGGTAAAAAATCACGTTAACACGTGCAGTCCCCTGGGCGGGGGTGACACCAACCCTAAAATCTTAACTGGAAAGAGGGGTCGAGTGATACCTTATTTTAAAGGTCTTCAAATTCCCTTTATAATAATGTAAAATACATGAGCTTCAGTTCAGTAGTTTTGAAGATTTATTGACTTAAAACTTAAAGTAGACTTTAATAGGTACATCAGATTAGTTTGTACTACTTTCAGAAGAAATTTGACTAAAAGAATTTACTTAATAAGTAAGTGCTTTTCTTCACTACGCCCATGGTTTGTTTACCATTTTGTTGTTGAAAATAGCTATTGGAGCGTTTTTTGTGGCAAAAAAGTTATTTCTTGAAGAAAGATAAGGAAATATCTCGTACTTATTTTAAATAGGAATTTAGTACATAGTTTGCGATTGATTTGATCAAACTTTATTGCTAAAATAACTTGTAACGCTTTATTACATAAATTAACCATGGTATATTCCACAGCAGAAAGAGTTGAAATTATCGAAATATTTCTTGGAAATAATCAGTGCGCTAATAGAACATCAGAAATATTTAATGAGCGATATGAGAACAGTAACATGCATCGAAAATATGTTCTAGAACCTGTAGCTAAATTTCGAGAAACTGGGTCAGTCGCCAATAAAAAACGCAACATTGAAAATCCCATAAGGAACGAAGCAATAGAAGTGAGAGTTTTAGGGCAAGTTTATGTAGATCCTACGTTAAGTACTCTCAAATTGGAGATTGTGTGTGGTGTTAGTCGACGTATTGTCCAACGGATTCTAAAGGCCCATAGTTTTTGTCCGTATAAAATTCACCTGGTACAAGAACTTAATGAAGACGATTTTGATCGGCGATTACACTTTTGTGAAGATATGAGTGAACGAATTATAAATGATGAACATTTTCTATTCAACACTTGCTTTTCCGACGAATGTTCCTTTTTTTTAAATGGCATAGTAAATCGTCATAACTGCCGATATTGGTACGATTCTAATCCCAGAATTTATCATGAGGTTCATACTCAGCAGCCACAAAAATTAAATGTTTGGGCTGGTATTTTTGGCAATCATTTAGTTGGTCCTTTTTTCTAACCTGGAAATTTGACCGGGGAAATGTATTTGAAATTACTGGAAGACGCCGTAGATCCTGCATTAACAGCCATAATTGAAAATCAGAATGATCGGCGGGACATTGCTAATAAGTTGATGTTCCAACAGGATGGTGCCCCACCACATTACGCATTACGTGTTCGACAATATTTAGATCAAACATTTCCAGATCGATGGATTGATAGAAGAGATGCCATTGAATAGCCCCCAAGATCGCCAGATTTATCACCTTTGGATTCCTTTATGTGGGGTCATTTAAAAAGCAAAATCTATGCTACTCAGCCAACATCATTAGAAGACCTGCGACAAAGAATTGTGAATGAGTGACTCCAAATTACTCCTCAAATATTGCAAAATGTGCGGCAACGTTTTGAGTAAAATCTTTATTATTGCATGGAGAGTCATGGTGGCCATTTTCAACATTTACTAGCCTAACGGGTCAGTTCATTTTTCATTTTTAAATTACTTTGCTGCCAAATGTATTGATCTTCACTAATGATGATGTATTAGTTTTATTTAAGCTTTGAATCAATAAGTCTTCAAAACTACTGAACTGAAGTACATTAATTTTATATCATTATAAAGGGAATTGAAAGACCTTTGAAATAAGGTATCACTCGACCCCCCTTTCCATTTAAGATTTTGGGGGTGGTGTCACCCCCGCTTAGGGGGCTGCACGTGCTAACGTGATTTTTTGCCAAACGTGTGTCCCCCTCGAAAACAAAATCGACTGGTCTAAGGGTTTTTCAAAAAAATAACTGAGCTGCCAGTAAATCTGTTTGTTTCGTTTTCGATGCGCCACCCTGTATATGTTACTAAATAAACAGGCTTATTATTACCTGACCGATAGGCTCTGTAAAGTCCCAAGTTGGAGGACACCCTGTATATCTAATAGGGCCTTTTCAATAATAGGACGGGCTTCAACGATATCAGAAATACATTTTCATACCCCCACCTCCTATAACATACATCACCCGGTTTTCTGGAAGTGAAGCTTCATCGACCTATATTCCAATTTTCGTATTTTGCCCATAGCTTTACTGGCAGTGGAGCAATTTTAAAAACCAAACCAAAAAAGTAGTATTCGATCGAAGTAATTATTTCTTCTTTAATGTGTAATATTGAAACTTGTTAAAATTAGATGAATCGCGAAAATAATTTGATGAGAATGCATCCTTAAATTTAATCAAGTTGTGTTACATTCAGGTTAACATTTCACATGGGGGGGGGGGGGCAGATCTCATAAAGTGCCTTCTTTAATCTCGCTATCGACTTTTATTATTGAAACAAATAATGTCGCAAAGCTAAGACCATGTGAGAATGAATGACCCATTTAAGCTTTTTTCTCTTCTCTGTTCGACAACATGGCAGGCTAAAAAGTAGCAGTTAGCTTGTCAATACTTACTTTTTTCTTCGTTACCGAACGCCGTTTTTCCAACACCTATCTTAAAATCAAATAACTCTTCTTTGTTACTTTTGAGTTCCCCTAGGTATTGAAATAGTTCTTTAGTATTGAGGATTATTATATCATTATTATACTAACGCTCACCAAAATTGATCGTCCTGAATTACACCTATGTAGGTACTACAAGGCGGGTGAAAATGGTGAAGAAACATTTAAAAACACTAAGAAATGTTTTAATTTTTTTATAGATTAGTATTTTTCTAGTAAGAAGATAACGCTCTGCAGCTGTAGCGGTGCCTGAAAAGGGCTAAGAACGGTAAAAATACAATAAAAAAAACACGGAAAAAGGTTTGTAACTTTTAGGTTCCAGCTTTTCTGTTTTTACCTACATTTTCACTTTTTTTTACCGCTTCTGAGGCACTTAGAGGGGCCTCCTGAATGTTCTTACCATTATAAACGTGATCTCTGAAAATTATTTCAATATCTGAGAAAAATTCTTACAACTGTTTTCGGTGCTTTGAGGTATATTTTCACCTCTTTCACCCCCTTTGAGGCGCTTAAGGGTGGTTCTGGACGACTAAATTTAGTTAATTTCCAACGATTATCAAAGTAGCTCTCCAATAATTTACTTCTGGCTGAAATCAAGTTACAGCTTTGTTGCTGTTTTTACCTGTTTTTCATCCCTTTCAGCATTTTTGGAGGCAATTAGGGGTAGTTCTGGATGACGAAACTTTACGGGCATTAGCTGTCTTCATCCAAAACAATTCATTTATATAAACAATCCTAGAAATAATTCAGAAAGGTGTCAAACTTCAGTGTTATTAGATTTTGGGGTCATTTAAACCCCTACGTTCTTGAATATTTTCAAGGAACAAAACGTAGTGCCTCTTTTGATTTTTCACAACGATTAGCTTGAGGTGTGTGAAACATTTTTAGGTTTATTCTCTAGATCGGAGTTTAATTCGCGAAAATAGGAGAAAAAATTATTTTCTCGGGCTTACTCTTTGAAAACATGCTCCATGTATCCAGCCAACCAAACAGTCGTTCCCCAACCCAAACCGCGTTGATCCTCTCCCTCTGTCTCTGGGGCGCATGCCCCCCAGCATCGAACGCGGGGGCGCCCAGACCAGCCGCAGTGTTTTGTGCAGTCGGCGGTGGACGTCGCGACGCTCGGCAGCCGAAGCGTCGACGTCGGTATACGGGGGCGCAATAATAGTCTTTACGAGGCAATGCTTCCTATCGCCATCTCGCTCTCGCACGTTGACGCGCGTATTACGCTGTCTTTCTCGACAGGTGAATCGCCTTTTATGTGCCAAAATTAGATTGCTGACAAGGACTTTTACGCAGCGAGTTTTGGAGATTTCTTGTATAACTGAAGGTAGGATAACTGTCAATTGGATGTGTCCTAGAATTTAGCGTCATAAGTGCATTGTTTACGTGTTGAAAAGATGAGACTTGATAGCGGTACTTTGGATATGGCCTTTATGAATGAAAAGTTTGGTATTTTTGCAGTACAGCTTCAGTATAGTTGATGTCACTGTAATAATGTTTTGTAAAATGTAAATCACTCACAATATGTATAAGCATCAAGCAGTTTCTATAGGCCAATCAATGAAGGTATTTTGCCAAATGTTATAAAAGCAATTCCATGGTAATTTTTATTGAGGCTTGTCCATATGAGATATTGTATTAGTTTTAAAATGCTAATCGATTTTTGGTGCTGCGATAAGCAAGACATTTTTAAAAAAAGGGAAACAGTAATTCGAATCTAGTATTTTGATAATAATCTCTAACTTACTCTAATAATGATACGTCTGAAGTGAAGAATTACGTCTACGCATAAACAAATTGAATATTCATACTTATGCAAATTAAAAAAAATTATGCCTTTTTAATAGTGGTTTTCCGAATGGTCAAGGTTGAACTTGCTAACATAGAAAAGCGAAGGATTTTATTTTACGTATTCAAACAAAATTTTGCCATTAGTGAAACTTTCAGATATTCTAGTATAAAAGTAGTTTAATCTATCAATGTTTCACTTGGCTACTGAAATTGCGACTAGTCACTACCAGCTTGTAATATGAGGGAGACATCTTTACATAAGGGATACACTTGCTTTGTGGCTATTCTGCTTCGTCAGTCACGATTAATATATAATAAAGAACTTCTGAAGTGAAGAAATATGTCTACGTACAAATGAATTGAATATTCATATACGAATTCAAAAACAATTTTTGATGCCCTTTTTAATAGTGGTTTTTTGAATGGTTAAGACTGAACTTTTTAATATAGAAAAGCGAAGGATTTTATTTTACGTATTCAAACAAAAATTTGCCGAGGCGAATTCCGCGAAAACTCCTCAAAAAGACTGCACATTGTGAATATATCGGATGATTGATGTTCCGTCTGTTAGAGAAACCTTCAGATATTCTAGTATAAGGGTAGTTCAACCTATCAATGTTCATACAGCTTCTACTTCTAGTATAAGAGAAACATCTTTACATAAGGGATACACTTGCTTTGTGGTTATTCTTCTTCGTAAGTCACGATTAATAATAATAATAATTAACGTCTTTTATTTGTAATACCCTTACAGGAGGCGAGATTTAGATAATGTATCTGTTCTACCATCTTAGCCCCTTAATAATACGAGATGTAAAAAAACAGAATTTGTTGAAAATGAATACCTGTATACAATAACGACAAAATAAAGTATAATCTAATTTAAGGTATAAGGAAAATATGAGGCCAGTTATGGGTTACAACAGATTTCGCTGCTGATCAACTAGAACTTCTTTCACTTTTTTCTTGAACTTGGGTAATGGATTGGTTTCTTTTAAACTACGGTCTAAAGAATTACATGATTTGATCGCATTGTAAATATATGTATTCTGAAATAAAGATGTGGAATTGAAAAAAGTCTCTCTACATCTAATATTAATGCCATGCATATTCCCTCTACGTATGAATTTGTTTATTAAATATATATAATGAAAATGATAGGGGTCTTAAGACTGATCTCTGTGGTATACCAGAAAAAAATTTTTGTTCGGTAGAGTACTGTTGGTTTATACGAATTTTTTTATACCGATTTTCAAGGTAGGTTTGAATAAACGAAAGAGGTTTTTCAGAAAATCCATAATAACTGCATTTAGACACAAGAAGTGAGTGATTAATGGTGTCAAATATTTAGTAAAGTCAACAAGTAAGAGAGCTACTTGTTTTTGGTTATCAAGTGCCATTGTTATATTGTGTGTTAAATCACAGAGTGACCTTGTTCAGATCCAGATTGTTTAGATGGAATTATTTTGTTAGAATATAAGTAGGCGCAGAGCTGCTCGTAAACAACGCGCTCCAATACTTAAGAAAAAAATTAGCAGTACACTGATCGATCTCAGTTGACCATAGTTAGTAGGATCAGAACACTTAGGTAGCGGAACAACTATAGCGCGTTTCCACCGATTGGAGAAATATAATGTCTGAAGTGAAGAAATACGTCTACGTACAAATGAATTGAGTATTCATACACGATGTGCGAATTCAAAAACGATTTTTGATGCCCTTTTTAACGGTGGTTTTTCGAATGGACAAGACTGAACTTTTTAATATAGAAAAGCGAAGGATTTTATTTTACGTATTCAAAAAAATTTTGCCGATACGGATTCAGCAAAAACTTTTCAAAAAGACTGTACACCGTGAATATATGGGATGATTGATGTTCCGTATGTTAGAGAAACCTTCAGATATTTTAGTATAAGGGTAGTTCAATCTATTAATGTTCATATAACAGTTTCACTCTGCTACTGAAGTTGCGACTAAACACAATCAGCTTCTAATATATGAGAGAGACATCTTTAGATAAAGGATACTCTTGCTTTGTGGCTGTTCTGCTGTCTTATTAATTCTTGGGGTGCGTTGACCTTTTAAGGATAATATACGAAAAACATGTACGCCTGCAGGATTTTTCTTTTGGGAGGGGTTGATCACCAACAAGAGAAACATTTTTGTGAAAGTGTACATGCTACAAAATTCTTTGAGGCAGTAACATTTTTCAAGGAAGGATGGAGGACAAATCCTAAAAACTGCAAAAACTGTATACACAATCTTGCTAAATATGCAAAATTATGGTTCAACTAACCTCTTAGGATGGGATCTCGGCCCCCCTGGCTCCTCTGCGCGCTCCCATGATTTTTTTGCGCTATTGGAATCTTGTTTTGTCCTATATAAAACGGCATCAAGAGGCGGACCCAAAGATGACACTTTTGACAAAGATCTGATTTAAGTTTCACACTTTGTATACGTCAGAAATTTCCAATAGAACACTTAAATGATGGTGATGATAGTGTACGATAATGAAATACTTCTAGAAGCTCATGTCATAGGTTTGTACGATCTTGGCCAGATCACGTGACCATTGACGATTCCCCATAGAACTTCATGATCATCAGAACAAGTGAAACCTCATCAATTACTTTTTACTGACGTTTCATCCACCGCGGTCGAATAAGCAAATGAACAAACTAAGGTACTTAAAAGGGTAATAAATATTCACGTTGATGATGTTTCTTGGAAAATTATCCTGTGTTGTTTATATTTTTCACCTCCAATTGTATAATCGAAAATTCATACAATCCGGGGCTAGAAAATAGACTACTAGACACATAAGCACTATGATCGTTTATATTATTTAGGTATCACATCCAATATGGGTATGCTTAAATTTGATTTAAGATCTTGGTGTAGCATGTGTGACCATGGTTCACTCTACATTGCGTATTTAGATAAAATAAACCCTTTGTCCTGAGTTTGGACTGGTAACACTTTTTCAATAGGTTGGGATGGCTCACGGTACAGCCTTAACGGGGCCCTACAATCACGAGCACCATCTGCTGAGGTAACGGGAGGGGGTGAAAGGAAGCGAGGGTAGGCTGGCCTTAGACGATCGTCGGCGCTACTTCAAAAGATGAAAGGATGACTGCGGGTGCGTACCGAGGTAAATTATTATAATATCAGAGTCGGATTTCGATTAGCCATTTAGCCTGTAAATCGTTTCCTATTTCGGTACTCAGCCAGTGATCATTTAGTATTGTTCTACCCTTGTTATTGTTCGTCCATATTGTGTTGTTGAGTTGTTGTGCTGTACTCTTGTTGGTGTGATTGTTCTTGAGTGCCTTTTTTATCAAGGTTGATAATGGACAATAAAAGGTCATATGCGACAATTTTAATTACGAATGCAGTGAGTTTAATTCAGGATGAGGACAACAATATTGTGGAGCAGATCAACTCTATAATCGCAAAATACATTGGGGTAAGCGAATAAATTATTGCAAGAATAGGTCATACCATGGAAGATGTGCTGCAGCTGTAGTGAGCCACAGACCGACCGGCCTATCTATGTCGTCCAAATAAATTTGCGTTCTAAGCTTAGTCCAACCTCGCATATCACTAAGATGGAACAAAGACTCAAACGCAAGAATCTTGAAAAGAAACTCAAACCAAAAAAAGCTTATATAAAAATAACTAACAATTCGGATAGCAATTCCAAAGAAAATATATAATAGTTTTATGGCGAATTCTGGCAAGAACCTGACATGAACGACATTGATTTGGAGGTTGCTAAGCAAGAATTTTTAGGGAAACTTAGCAAAAGTGACGACGAGATTTTGCAGATCGAACAAGTCACCAAATCACAGGAATGTACTTTGTGGCGTCTTCATCGGAGGATGAGGTTAACAGCGTCCCGATTTGGTGGAGTTTTTAGAAGAACGCAGACAGCAGGCTGTAAATTTCTAGTAAACACCATCACATACCCAACAGAGTTTTCTAGTAAGACCATAAAAAAAGGCAATACAAAAATCATCGGACACGGCAGTTCAATCTTGTGGTTTGTTTATTGATCGCACACATCCATTTCTGGCAGCATCACCTCCATCTACCTATTACAGTAGACAAGACATGTACTTAATCCAGTTTTATTGCTTTGCAAAAACTACCTAACTGTTGTTACCATCTACCACATGACCCTTGTAAACATAATTGTGTTTATTAACATGAATAAACGAATTTAAATTTGAGTTCTTGAATTTATTTTAGGAAAGATAAAATTATTTGAATACATTTGATCTTAGTCGGAACGCACCGTCGCGTCGCTTGGACTGGCAGGACGAAACAGTAGACGAATTTCGCCCAAAAACCGATTTGCACTTCACAGCCTCCGTTTCATTTTTATTACTTGGAAATGAAACTCTTGCAGCGTGCTAAAAATAAAGTCCACGAAGTGCCAGCGATCCACTTTTTCGATTTTATCCACTAGGATCTTTTTAAAATATTAAGAAGTTGAGCACAAATAGTAAGCATTTCAACCCACCATAATTCTTG